ATGATCATAAAATAACTGTTTTTAAACTTTCGGTTTTTACAATGGAGGGATTGTGAGATACGGTTCTGGTTTCATTACACACACTTAATTTCTTGATGTACCTCTGCAAGATTTACATCCTAAAGAAGGAAATCTGAAAGTTGCTTATTCCTGTTAAACTTCTACCTGTTTACCTAAGACCAGCTAGCTTCTTGAGTATTTGTCAAGGCTAAATGACGTTTTTTGGCATATGCATGCCATAAAGAAAAAGATCTAATAAAACCATGATAATGTTTTATTAAGGTAGACATGGATTTTATCATTCACAATGTATATATACATTAAATCATCACGTTGTACACCTTAAAAAAAATTCACACTGTACAACCTAAAACAAAGTGAAGTTTTATCTGCTCTTAAGTATAGAACTGGCATCAACAGTTGTGAAAAACAGAGCTTAATCAGGCCCCAGAATGCAGTGTCTTTAGGGATACAGTGTAAACCTTGAGGTTTTACCAAAATAAAGTCTACAGTCTTCCGGTGTTTCGGACAGCTGCTGGAAGTGCCCGGGGTGCCCTGGCTTTGCTGTCCTGGGTTTAACTGTTTGGATTTGTTTCTTCATATGCTGAGTGGCATTTTCACGGGCTGTTTGGCTTTGTCCTCAGCTTCTTCCAGACCAGCTGGTCTTGCTTCTGGAGCATCTCTTAGAGCAGAAGACCCTGAGCCCCCGAACCCTGCAAAGCCTGGAGAGAACGTACCGCCTCCCGGAGCAGGATGCGGAGGTAATGGGGGACGTCCGCGGAGTGATGTGGCGGGCCCTCCCTGTTGGCGAGGAATGACTGTCCCACCGCGTCCCAGACTGTTGGAAGTGCTGTTTCCAGTAGCAGCATCCTGTGCTGTGTGCTTGTGAGTGTGGAGCAGGACTTCAGGCAAAGGGTAAACCACTTCCCTGGCTGTGCTTGCTCCAGCAGGGGGCTTTTGATCCTGGTCATTACCGGGGTATTTTGAGGTCCCAAGTTTCCCCCCCTTCTTAAATCGTAAGTCTCCAGAAGGAATGAGCAGGCGGGTGGAGTGTTTCTGAATTGTGAACTCGGGTGAGTCATCTTGTGCACGACGGTGGCGCCGTCCTGTTGTGCATTAAGGAAACTTGGCTGAGATGTGCCAGAGCTGCTTGGTTGCGTTCAGTTAGGACCGGAAAGCAGCCATGTGTAAAGGAAATGAAAACTAAATCTCACAGCCGTGGTCTGAAAAGCAGAATTGGATGCTTGTGGAAACAGTACGATGCAGTCCTTAGTGTCTTTCAGCTTATTGTGAAGAATGCAGCTTGAATCCTGAGATGAGGTGCTAGGGTTTTTCTTTTTAATACATAAAATAATGACTGTGTAATGTATTTTGTCGTCCTAAGTAAGAAATAAGCACACGGTCAAAAAGAGAAAAGCTCTTTTATGCAAAACTCCTGAAATGCAGGTAAGTTTGATTTGTGTCTGAGAATAAATGAACATTTAAAACGGAGCCGTCCAGCATGGCAGCCACCAGGCACGTGTGGCCGTTAGGCACGTGTGGCCGTTGAGCACGTGGTACGTGGCCGTTCTGAATCGAGATGCGCTGCGAGTGTGAGATGCAGAGTGGATATCGAAGATGTAGTATCAAAAGAAAAAGCAAAATATCTCGTTAATAATTTCTTCTTACTGATTACAATGTCACAGTGGTATTTAGGATACGTCGGGTTAAATAAAATATTATTAAAATTAATTTCACAATTGTTAAAATGGAGTAAATTGATAAAAACCAGCTCATTATTAGATGAAAAGGTAAAACGGACATCATCATAGATGTTCAAGCCCTTCCATCAATTCAGGAGTTAATTGAAAAACTCCAGAGAGGACACATGGAGCTTTTTACCCATCTCAGCGGAGCTCAGAGGAGATCAGACATGCAACTGTTGCTGCATTTCAGCCCTTAGATTTTTGTTTATAGGCCTTCCCAAATGCCAGCCTGCTATTTTTAATTAGTCTTTAGAAGAGGTTTCTATTTATAGGCATGAGGTTATGCTTTAATCGGAGCCGAATACCACCGAAGTGCCAGGCCCCTGTGACTGATGAAGGCAGGGGGATGGGAGCAGGTGCCCGGCACCTGTCGCTCCTCCCCAGAAGGCTGGGAGGTGGTGGGCCCTGCTTCCTCGCCTTTCCTGTTGGCATGAACATAAAGCACACCGTGTTCTCAGCCCACGGCTCGGCCTAGCTGTTAAATATAACTTCTTGAATCTTTGGGGAATATAACAGGTTTTATCTGGTTGCTTGTTTCACGCCTCACAAGCTTCACCGTCGATGCCTAAGGCCGGAGTGGTCTCTTCAGGCTTGGCTCCTCGGTGGTGAGAGACTGGGGCCCGGGGAGGGCTCGGCTCGCTTCCTGTGACTGGCATGGTCAGCATCATGCAGCGGCACCAGTGCCGGGCACGGGGATTCAGCGGTGGCCAGGCTCACCCTGAGGAGGTCTGTGTTCTTCTGGAAGGACAGCTCCTAAGCAAGTGAACAGGACAGTTGCAGATAAGAGCTACAAAGGATAAGTGTTTCTAGATAGAGTTCAGGAAGGGCCATGCAGAGGAAGTGACATTCGAGCCAGGACCTAAGGGTCAGAAGGAGTTGGCCGTGCAAAGCCAAGGGCCAGTGGGTATTTCCATGTGGAGGTGACAGCAGGTGCACAGGGGTGAGCTTGGCACGTGCTGGGGTGGAAGTCAGCATCCATTTTCTGTAAATGAGCAGATTTTAATGTTTCAGGCCCCGCGGTTTCTGTCACAGCTACCCATTCAGCTTTGCTGCCGTAGCTCAGAAGCTGCTGTAGACGATGTGGAAACGAGCAGGCGTGCCCGTGTTCCGGTGGAGCTGCTGATGGACCCTGAAACTTGAACTTCATGCAGTTATCGCGTCTCAGGATAATTCTTCTGTTGTTTGTTTTTAAAACTCTTCTAAAATGTCCACATGACTCCTAGCTATGGGCTGGTTTGGCCTGCCCCGTCCCCAGTCTGCTGACCCCTGCTCTGGGGCCTGCAGGGGTGGACAGGGCCCAGACCAGGAAGGGCCTGGGCCTCGCTGTGTGCCACCCCTCCCCCCTTCCCGGGCTTCTGCGGCCCCGTCTGTCATCCGCCACACTGGCAGCTTAGCTTACAGTGTGGTTCCCTTGACATGCCACTCAGCACCAGAAAAACAACAGGATTTTGGCCAACCAGGGTGTTTTCTAGAAACTTCATTGGTTAAGTGATTTATTGTGACACTGATTAGCAGGAATTTAGTTGACTTAACCACCTGCTTTTCAGTGACAACATTTCATGGGAGAAAGAATTATTATTTGATGGGAAAAGTCTTGAGGGTTCTGACTTCATTCTTGGTGCTTCATCTTGACCAAACAAATAAGCACTGTCCCATTTACTTGTTCTCAGGGCGTTTAAATATGTAGTAAGTAGCAGGCATTTGGAAACTGGCCGAAGATACTGGAGTGTGGCTGGGTGTGAATGGAGCATCCCCGTGGGACACGGCTCCAGAGGTGTCTTCCCAGCAAGGAGCAGTGGGGTGGTGGCTCCGCTGCGCTTTGATCAGGATGATCAGGATGCCGCCAAGGCGCTGGGACTGGTGTCACATTAGGTGTCTGTGTGGAAAGACTTCAGCCCCAGATGAGGGTGGAGGGTGGTCTTCAGTACAGAGTTGGGAGTGCTTGCGACAGTGGGGTTTATTCCTCCTGTCTGGGAGGTACAGGAAGCGCCCCCACAGTCCTCCTCAGACTGTGTTTTTCCTGGAAGCATGGGTGGAGGTCACTTCGTGAGAGGCGAGCCTGCTATTTCCGTGGCTCGCTTGGCCCCCTTGTTGCCCAGTGTGCTGGGGCCTCCTGGCAGAGCTGTATGTTCCGATGCTCTGAGAGCCGCACCTGGGCAAGAGGCCTGCGCTGCCACGGGGCAGGGCCCTCTGTTCTGTAGTCCCTCGAGCGTCTTTGCCGTCACGTCCCCTTGTCCCTGCCCACCTTCCTGCTAGACGAGTGGGTGGGCTGGTGCGGTCCCCCTGGGAAATTGATTTTAATGGTCCTCTTTGTGTAGCTCAACTTCTGTATCAGTCGTGTTGCCTCTGCGTTTCGGTTGGCGCTCACGGGATGTTTGGTCTGTGGGTCAGGATTTCCGAGCGTGGCGCTCAGGGTGATGGTGGTGTTTGCCAGCTGTTCACATTTCAGGGGGACACTGGCCCCCGTTCGGCCTCCCTTGTCCTGCGTGTTCTCCGTCACGTGTGGTGCGAATACACTGGTCTGCCCTGGGGGGTGGATACCACGTGCTCAAGTCTTAAGGGAACTGTGCACAAGGACGAACGGAGTAAGCTGGGTCCAGTAACACGTGTCACCCTGGGCCACTTGGTGCCTTGCCTGCCCAGTCTCACGGCCACCATCTGAAAAGTGAGGCGCTGGAGGGGGACTTCGTGTTCCTCAGCCTGGGAAGTAACACTTACAGGAGTCGGTCACCTTTTACCTCCTGAATCAAACAGTCCTCTAGCCATGTGCTGGGCTGCTTCACCCAGGTCAGAAGATGAACTGAAGGAAACCTAGTTTGTAGAAATGTGTTGTCTGCAGTTTCTGAGCGTGTTGGCTCAAAAAGAGCCGTGAAGGTTTTTAAAACATATTGGATGCCTGATTCTTGAAACAAGGTGTTTTCTGAGATCCCTTTTAAAAATACTGAATTTCCTGCCCTCTTAAGCTGTGAGAATAGCCATCCCCTAGCAGTGAGGCAAGGCTCCATGCAGTCTGGCTCTGAGACCTTTTTCCCCAAGAGCCCCCTGCTGACCTCGGAGCAGCCTTATTTCTACAGATCACAGTTGAGCGCTTCAAAACCGGGGACATGTGGCGCCAAAACAGCAGAAACAGCAGCTCACTGTCCCATCTGGCTCAGATGGGAGTGGCAGGGGCTGGGGAGGTCCCCGCAGCACCACACCCTGCTCTGATGTTTCTGTTGGTAGGTTGAGCCAGAAGTTTAATTTTGTGGGGGAGGTCGTTACCAGCATCAGGTCCTCCCCTCACTGTACTTGCAGGAATACTGCTGGTTGAAAGCGAGGGGCCTCCCGGCTTAGGTGGGGGTGGGGAAGTGCGGGGGCCATGTCTCCGTCTTCCCCTCAGTGCCACGCTCCGGTCCTTGTTCAGGGGAACCGCCCTTCCCTGTGCCCACCTCGTCTAACCCCCGCGGCCGTGCACCTGGTCCTGGCCGAGGCATCGGCTCAGCAGCAAGCCGGGCTTGGTCCCAGGTTTCCAAATGGTGGGTGACCACAGGCAAGCCGCCCACCCTCCCCGGCCCCGCTTTCCTCGTCTGCGCGGCTGTGCCTGGGCTACGCTGCTCGCTCTCGGCTTTTTTGACCACAGCCAACTGGCAGAAGGAGCTCCACAAAACCATCTTTACTCTTATACTTGCTATTATTTTCTGTTTCTTTAAAAGTGTGCGTTGTGATGCAGTAAATTTGATTTTCTGACCCACCAAAGAGTCGCAGCGCACAGTTTGGAAAATGCAGGACAGGACGAGCTCACAGTCCTCACCAGTGTTCCTGCTTCCTCCCCCTGGACTGAGGCCAAGGCTCCTTGAGTCTCCGTCTCCCTAGGTTTAAAACGGAGCCATAAGCCCCCTCTTTATGGGATTGTTAGCAGCGTGATGAGAAAATGTCTGTGAGCGTCCAGGGTTTTAGTGTAATTTCTGGTCATGTACGATTCACATTCTCCCTTTTGGTATGAAATGGGCAAGTTTTGTTACTTAGCTCAACAGCCT